TTTTTTGAAAGATGCACATATGGAGTAAGGCCAAGCTGTTTACTCTCTAACCCATATTACACCCATCAATCGTACATCAAAATAAAGTGAATTAAAGATTCTTTGAACAATACCTAAGATATACAAAGTCTCTTTTAAATAACCAGTATAACTAGTGAGGCAACCCGGGGAAACTCTTTTTGTTTAAAATTTTAACCTATGCTAAATACGAAACTCTAGAGCACCACCTCTACTTTGGATCCAACAATAAAACTAGAATGTATACCATTCATAACAAAAATCAAAGACGTATTACACAATGTGTGAAGTCGTACATGTGCTAAGCGAACGGAAACAATGTGGAATAGTATTTTGATGATCTCTTCAATATACTGTAAGTTATCCTGAAATTAATATCACTCTGTGAGGAAAAAAACTAAACAAAGTACATCAATATGAATAGATATTTATTTACTGTTAATCTTAGCACGATTATTAATTGAGTATTCAACACTGTATCATGCCAAGCCACCCCCACATCACCCCTTTTGCCTGTACGTCAATACCTTTGTTAGTTTTGTTTGTTATAGGTCCCTCAAGTACTCGCGCCCTCACTTATATCGCAGTCGATGTTTTTGGACCCCGATGTCCGCGAGTTATCGAGGGAGTGGTGTAATTTATAAACAATGTTATTTTATGAAACGTTCAGTTACATTTCAAACTCTTCAAGGGTATAAACATTTGCTACTGAGAGTTTATTAATAAAAACTTCATTTTGTTTACCTCTTGTTCCTTATCAGTTTCCTTTGCTTCTTTTTGATGATTCATTCTAAAGAAGTCCTATCAGTTCCTCTGTTATAGGCATTTTGCCACTTCTTGCCATTATGACTTTGTGTTTCTTTGTGTTTTTTTTCTCTGTGGTTTATTTTATTTGTTTAGTAACACATTAGCCTTGTGTTATTTTGTGGAGAGCTGATGGCATTATAGATGTTAATAACTTCGATGCTTTGATGATAGAATACTCAAGCTGACATGAATCACCCACTTTCTGTAATCGATAGGTTGAAAAGTTGTTTTCAAAGATTATCAAAGATTTGCATCAGATTTAAGTTGTAGTAGGTGCATGCTATCTCATATGGCATTCTTATTTTGTAATTTCTATATGCATGCACTTTACCCCTTCATTATCTTATGAAAGAGTTCAAAACATCAGTTCAAGTAAGTGAAAGACATCTAGTGTGTTGCAGTAATGCAGCAATAATGGTGTCATGTTTTGCCCATTCAGTGATGGATAAAGGTGCATGTGGTCTGTGTTCATCATACAAGAAAAGCAGCTGCTGAGATGAATAACTCCAATGTACATAGTTGATGAAATGTTTCAGAGCTCAAATTTTTTTACACAAAAGCCCAGAGGTTTTGACTAAAAAAAAATCACAAGCCAGACTAATTTCACAGGTTGGAACTATCAAGTTCTATATGTCCAAAATTGCCCCTTTATATTTTATTTGTCATAAAATGAGATTACTAAGATTCAAATATGAAAAGATAAAAATACATGTATAATCATATTAAAATGACTTGAGTCTTTATTTAGATCAAAATAATTTCACATAAAGCAATGTTTTTCTTTAGGTCCAGAGGTCAGCTATGGTCTAATTGCTCTAACAATGTCCTTCTGATTCAGTGGATCAACACTATTGTTGTTCATTAGCATCTGAAGTGTCTTGATTTACACATTTTGTTTTTAAGTTGTTCTTTATAGGTCCCATTTAATATGTTTAACCAGTATTTCATTACACTAGCATGCACATGAGTAAGGGAAAGCGGAATTATTTTTTTATTAGTTTCCAGCTGGACATTGCTCTAGCACAGATAATTGCAAGAGACCATCATTCTTTAATTTTTAAATTATATGAATGTGATTTAAGATGTGAGACCACATTAGTGATAGATGATTAATCTTCTGTGGCATAGTCAGGAGTTTACAAATACTCATGCCCAACTCTGGCAATAAGCTTAAGTTGTACAAAATTTATAAAGCCATGATATATTTGGGCCAGATAACATCTGACATACCCATAGCATTTCACCAGAAGTGAAATGTGATCTATTACAAAGAGATAATGGGCTTGATCCAGATTTAAATGTGTCAGTGTCCACTTCACCAGTGACTTGATGGTGTGAAGTTGTTTCAGGAACACTGTTCAACTTTGGCATTGTTTTAACTGTCTTTTTTTCATCTTCCTATCAATGTTTGCCTTAGTTTAGCTTTAGGATCATATATGTAGTTTTCTACCATTCTGAAAATCAAAGTCAAATGCATTTAAGACAGGGTTTGAAAAGTTTGAAACATACTTCTCTAAATTATTTAAATGTTGATCAATCAAAATTTAAATAATAAAATTTTTCTCTAAAACAAGTTCTTTGATTTTATTAAAAGTGATTACTGTCTTTTTCTTTATTCAAAACTATTATTAAAAAATTCAGTTGAACAACAAAATTGATAATTATTTCATTAATGGGCTTTCATAAGAAAAATGAACTAGGAAAGCATAGATAAGAAATCACAATTTTATTCATTTGATAGAAAAGAGCAAAGAAAGTTGTATTATGGCTTTTATTAAACTGTCATATTGAAAAATAGAAACAGTTTGTATGGGTGTGAAAGTGTATTATGAAATGTGATATGTTTTGGTCATTGTTATGTATTCTGTTCATCCTTCAAGTTCTAAGATGGCCATCAGATTTCTGTGAGCATGGAAATGGTTTCTCAGGACAATCTGTGTTCTGATTTAACTGTAGTAGACTGGACAGGAGATGCTGGTTGGGTTTGTTAATTAATAAAAAACTTATGAGTTATGAGGATTGCACTACATGTCTCTGCACTGATGTTGCAGTTCTCCTCAGCCTATAGTCTGTAGCTACAGTTTGGATGGGCCTGCCAGGTGGAATGACCCTTAGGATCAGTATTGAAGTGTTTCAGTGATGGCTTGAGGGAGTCTTTTAAGCATATCTTCTCACCTCATTGTAATTGTTTTCTCTCCTTCAACTCACAATAGAAAATCATTGGTAGTTGCTTGTATGACAGCTAGTTGACATGGCCTACCCATTTCAGCATTTGTCCAAAGTTAGATAAGAAAACCAAAAGTTCTTGTTAGAGGATACATTTTTCTTATAAATTCTTTTGATATCTAATATTTTTTAAGTTTTCAGATGTCTCGCTAGTCAGAGGTCTTGATTTTTACTAAAAGTGCTGTTTTAGTTTGGGAAGTTTACTAAGAAAACTCAGATCTTGGAAAAGCTTAATTACACGTATTTCAATGCAAATTTTTTATTTGGGACGAAGAAAATCACCCACACAGGAGTCCTCCATATGCACGTTTTTTTTGCAAGGGTGGAAACTTTTGTGGCAAAATAAATATGTTCTAATCACCATGAAAACTGAAGCAATGCTTTTATTTTAATTTGTTAATTGCTGCCTTGTTTGATAATAGGTCAACAGCTTGCTTTGATGAAGGTGCATGTGTTATTGAACTCGCTGCTAAAGGCTACCTTTGAAGGACAGAATACCCATTTGTTATTGCTGTGGCAAGATTAAATTAATTGTAGAACATTGACACAATTTTTAAAAACATTTCCTTAGTATATATCTGTGCTTCAGAGATAATCAGTTTTCATTGAAGTTGCAGCAAAACTATTGGGGGGGGTAATGTTTTTCTTTTTAATTGCTGTTGTGTGGTGGACTGTAGTCATTTCACATTTTGTTTCCACCCTCAGAGGTTTTCAATTGTAGCTAATCAGTTGCATGTCTAACTTTGATTATATTACAGCATACCCTACCAAGGCCACATATTAGCATAAGGTGATTATGACAACAATTAACTGTTAGGTTGGTTTGTGAATATGAATAATGATTTGTTTATGTAACAATTGATTCCAGTGCATTTTTATATCCAAATTTCCAGTCATGGTGCTTTTGAATTTCTCCACTCCAAACTCAAGACCATATATACTGTTTCTATCAACCAAATATGTGGTAGCCAAAAATATGGCAAGATGGTATATTTTGTCGCCAATGTATAAAACATAATTGCAATTTGGGACAATGGGGAAGCCCAGCGCAAACACTGTTATTGATTTCATTTCTGGTTGTTGCCATATATATATTGCATTCAACTTGAAATAAAGAGACTTGGACAAAATGCTGTTTGCAAATTTAGACAAGTGTTTTGTAGTTAAATAATGGAAAAATGATGAAGATTTCATTGAGATTCAGAACTGTGCCAAAGTTGCTATAACTGATAGTTCGGATGCAACCATAGCCAAATGTAAGAAAGTATGTGATTTCCGGCTTAGTGGTGACTGCAACTTTTGTTGTTAGGACTGCATTTTTGTGGATAGGACTCCAATTTTTACCAACTTAGGAATCCTGGACTCCTAGTATTTGAATCATAATGCACAGTTACTTTTCCAGCAGATTCACTTGCTTCCTGATTGGATGTGGCAGCTAATAGGCATTTTGTTGGATACAGTATTCAATACACAACCTGTTAATTATTTGTTGGTAGAGCTGAAGGCTTTAATAAACTCTAACTGCTTTCCCAGTTTGGCATATTCTTTTGACACAAACCTCTTTTAGTAGTGTGACAGGAAGCTTTTTAAGTAGGGTTTCACAATACATTTGTAATGGCTGGATATTTGGAATTTGTATTTTACAGATGATAATTATGTCGGTGTGTTTGGCAGATTAAGTTAGTGTTTTTTATGTGACTGATTTTGACTTGCCAAGTTTGTGATGTGATTATGATTTTTATTAAAGCTTTAAAAATTTTTCAGTCATATTGATACGATGTCTGCAGTGTGGCAGTTTATAGTGATGTCTAGTACTGGGGCATCATGCTGCAGACATGTAGCATGATGTCCCACCCAGTCACATTATCCTGACACCAGGCCGACCAGTCCTAACACTAACCTCTTAATGCTGAGCGCCAAGTGAGGCAGCTGTTAGTACAATTTTTATAAGTCTTTGGTATGACTCGACCGGGGATCAAACCTACGACTTTCTGCATCCGAGGTGGACGCTCAAACCACTAGGCCACAAGCACAAGAGCGGTAACTTGCCAAGTATATATGATTATAAATTGGCTACATCAGTTGCTTCTCCACAAAATGTTTATTCATTGAAGCTTAAAGTACACCATTATCAACTATATCCTTAAAATGTCTGTGTATAAGTTTATTGTAGTTTTAAATTACAGGGTTTGTTGTTTATTTATTTACTTCACTAATCTTAGTACCCTTGAGAATTGCAGGTTCATTTTAGAAAGATTAACTTTATTGAAAGGCCATTATGGACAAGGATACTCACTAACAAATTGTATGGCCATTCTGGACAGGGACACTCACTAACTTGTATGGCCATTCAGGACAGGGATACTCACTAACTTGTATGGTCATTCTGGACAGGGATACTCACTAACTTGTATGGGCATTCTGGACAGAATACTCACTAACTTATATGGCCATTCTGGACAGGGATACTCACTAACTTGTATGGCCATTCTGGACAGGGATATTCACTAACATATATGGCCATTATAAACAGGGATACTCACTAACATGTATGGCCATTCTAAACAGGGATGCTCACTAGCTTGTATGGCCATTCTGGACAGGGATACTCACTAACTTCTATGGCCATTCAGGACAGGGATAATCACTAGCTTGTATGACCTATCTGGACAGGGATATTTACTAACTTGTATGGCCATTCCAGACAGGGATACTCACTAACTTGTATGGTCATTCTGGACAGGGATACTCACTAACTTAAATAGCCATTCTTGACAGGGATATTCACTAACTTGTGTGGTCATTTTGGACAGGGATACTCACTAACTTGTATGGCCATTCTGGACAGGGATACTCACTAAAAAGGGATATTCACTAACTTGTATGTCCATTGTAGATAGGGATACTCACTAACTTGTATGGCCATTCTGGACAGGGATACTAACTTGTATTGCCATTTTGGACAGGGATACTAACTTGTATTGCCATTTTGAACAGGGATACTCACTAACTTGTATGTAGTAGTATTAGGAAATGAGGATTTTGGCTCACTTCATTTTTTTTACCCTCCAAACAAGTATAAATTAAATGAGGGTTTCCAAAACAGGGAAATGAGGGTTTTGGCCCACCACCCCCTCCCACACCTATTAGAACGTTCAGTTAACAAGGTGGAAATTAAACTAGCATTAGAATGAAAATGATATTATTTTAGTTATATTATATCTTAAGTTTAGATAAAATTTTATGTTACTCATATTTTTTGTGATATTTTTTTCATACTTGCTAACCCTCATTGGTAGAATATCTGTTAACATATTGTCAATAATACGAAATTCACGTAATAAATCATCCATATTATATTTAACTCCTCGTAGGTAAGACCGGATCTGATCAAGTAGTTTCTTGTAAGTTTTAATTGACGTTAAACATCCGTGCTTTTTTTATCAAAAGTCTTGGTTCTACTTTTTTACACGCCGCTGTCAGTGAAACACCAATACCAGATATAATTAACAAAAATGGATTTAATGATACCCCACTTGAAATTATACCAGAACTGGTCATTAACAAGGGTAGATATGATATTACTCGAAGGATCTTCTTGTAGTATTTGTAACATTTTTTAACACACCAAAGTTTTTATGATAATATTTATAGTATTGTATTAGTGCGTCCACATCCTGTTCTGGAATATCTTTTGAAATGTGATTAAAATCAACTATACTTCTTTTCATTATAATATTTGTTTACATAGTTATGATAAATCAGCTACAAATTCCAAACACCACCGATAAGGACCTACAAAATTTTTATCAGTTGGTTCAAGTGTAAATTCCTCCTCAGAATTTTTGTTTAATATTACAGATAATATTCCAAATATGTCATCATCTAAATAACGCCATGAATATGTGGTAAATATTTTAAACTTTACACTGCTAAACACTGACAATCTATACACACCGGTAACTTCTGCAATATATTTGATAGATTTGTTTTGTGATGTCTATCCACTATAACCAGATGCAACAGTATACACAATATTTTTAAGCTGTTTGTGAGGAATTTTAATCATATTTTCTCAACAATATTAGGAATTCCACTAATAATATCATTGAGTTTTGTGTTAATATCATTGAGTTTTGTGTTAATATTAGCGAGTGTAATGTTAACATTTGATGGATTTCCAAAAAATTCATCTCTAATTTTGTTTATGTTTCTGCGAAAACTTAAAAATGTGTTCACGTGACTGGTAAAATCAGTTTTGAGCGCTGTGATTTCATTATTAATTGAAGCGTCCCAATCATTGACGTATTTTTTAGTGACAGCATCCCCATCCTCAGTTGCGTTTCCAAGATCTGTAATCTTGTTTTGTGTCATAACAATATTCCCACTTGGATTCGTACAACTACATCTGACAGTTTTACGTTACTCGTCTTTAATCGTCTTGCTTTGTCCTGGAAAATGACGACTTCATCTGGATCTACGCTGGTAAGATTTAGTAAATTATTGATTTCATTTTTGAGCCGATCAAGAGTTGCATATTTGGATAAGTCACCTGTGGATAAATCTCCTAATAGTGTTCCAAATTTTGTATAGTAGCTCATTATTTACTGTCCTAGATAAAATTATCAACACTAGTTTAATATTATATAAAATGGCAAAATCGTCGATACTAAACTTTGATACAGAGAGACTAGTGAAGCACAAACATAACAATGAACTTCCTGATTGTCATTATCTTATTGTTGGGCGAACTGGATCGGGGAAAACAAATTTGCTTATGAATTTGCTTCTTGGTGATAATTTTAACTACGACAGAGTTTATATTTACACAATCAATCCACAGCAAGATAAGTATGAGTTATTAAGCAAATATAATAACAAGCTTTGTGATGATCTTAAAGCTGGTGAAGATTTTTTTATAATTAGGCAGCCAGAAGATCTTATTCCAGTTAATCAACTTGATGCAGATGAACATAAGATAGTAGTTTTTGACGATATTCCTCTAAATAACATGGAGATGAATAAAATAAGATCATATTTCTCACTGTCACGTAACAGTGTAATTCTGTTTATCTCGCTCAAGGATTTTATAATGTTGATAGATTTATAGGGCGAAATACGGGTTGTTTTATTTTATTTCCAGGACTGGATAATGTTGACGTTAGAAATATTGCAAGCGAGCAATGCGGTGGCGTGACAAAAGATAAGTTTATTGAACTTTACCGTAATGCTACAAAAGATAAATTTAACTTTTTCTTGTTTGATAAACTTACAAATGATCCAACTAAAATGTTTCGCTGTTGTATTAACAGTTACTTAGAGTAAAGCGTTTCAATTTTATAAAATTTATAATTATAATAATGGACAAACGAGCAAGATACAGACAACACATAGAAGATCTAAAAAAACTTGCTCAATCTCAGGCATCACTTAAGCAAAAAGTACAAGAAGCACGACGTGGGCAAGTAACTGCTACAGAAGCAACAGCTACAATTTTCAAACCGGTTACTGAAGCACTATTAGGTAAACAACCTGAAACTAAACCACTGTCAGAAGAAGAACTTAAACAACTACAGGATAAAGGTTTGGTTGGAATTGTTAGAGAACAACAAGAAGCAGCTGCTGCAAAATTTATTACTAGATCTGATGAAGAAAAAAGAAAACTAATTGAGGCACTTACAGCAAATATAGCTGATCCTGCGGCTAGACAAGCTGAAACAGATCGATTGATAAACAATCCGCTGGAACTTGAGCGAAGATTAGCAGAGTTAACAACGCAAGGAATAACAAATATTATAAAAAATTTATCAGGAGATATAAAAGATATCAAAGAGGAGCAACAAAGAGTTGGTGAGCTTACTGTAAAGTTAATGGAAGTTGGAGATCAAAGACTTTATTTTTTAAAAAGAGCAAATGATGAGATAAAAGGTAGTGAATATGATGATTTTTTAAACAAAGAAAATATAAAGGGTATTGATATAAGCAGGTGGACTGATGTAGAATATCAAGAATTACTCGATAGATTAGATGTAATATTTAATGACGGAGTTACTGCTAGAGATGAAATGAACACGGTTACAGAAATTGATGATATGCTTCCACTTTATGATAGAATGAGAAACAGTGTCATTGCTCTCACGTTTAAAAAAAACAGCAGAAAATAGTAGAGCAAAACCTTTTGGTAGTGGTTGGAGTTTTAGAAGGAAATTTTTTACTTTTGATAAATCTCGTATACAAAAAAGTAGAGTAAGAACAGGAACTGGTGTAAAAGTATTTACTTCAAATACTGAAATGATAGGTAGATTAATGTTATTAATATCGTCAAAGGAAGCTGGGAATGTTAGTGTTGAACTTGATAATGAAATCATTGACATACTTTATCATCTAAGATTGAGTGAATTATTAACATCTGACGAATATGAAACTTTACACCGCGACTTAATTTTGTAAAATGATATAATATTAAAGGAATGCAAACAACATTATTACTAAACTCTAGTGAGTCTGCGATAGATAGCGCAAATTTTTCAGTAAATTATATTCCACCTATCCAACTAGATCCTACAAAACAATATGAAATTGGATTAATTTCTTGTACTTGCTGGAATGCTATACCTAACGTGAAAAATGATGTTAACAATGAAATGTATTTTACTATGATTACACCATCTCCAATATCTACAACACAAAAAAATAAAAATTCCGCAAGGAGCTTATAATATTACTGATCTAAACAAGACAATCAAAGAGCTCATCACAAAAGCTGACGGTGTGGCTGATAATTTTGAATTAGCAGCAAATTATAACACATTGCGAACTAGGATAACTTTGAAAAATATAATAATCAGTCTTGAACCAAGAGAAAGAAGTATTGCACAACTGTTAGGATTTACTGAAAAAAACTTACACTGCACTTGATCAGCCTATTACATATGACAGTGAACTGCCAGCAAATTTAACAGAAGTAAATACAATATTAATAAATTGCTCTATTGCTTCTGGCTCTTATACATCAAAAGGTAGCAAAGGTCAA